GTGTTATTAGTTTGATCCCCAATTTTATTTTTATTTTTTTATTAAATAATCCCCAAATTTTTTCAATGTTTCATGTTACTACGTTTTTTATTTACTATGTTACTACTTTTTCTAATTGACCATGTTACTATTTTTTGTTGAGTATGTTATTACATTTTTAATGTTACTTTTTTGGATGCTGAAGAATTGGAGGCTTCTTCCTCTAGTTATAAGTTTGAATGCTACTATTTTTATTTTTAGTTTTGTTCAATGTTATATATTGCTATTTTTTTATTGAACATGTTACTATTTTTGTTGAACATGTTATTATTTTTATTTTTTTTAAAATATTAATATTGTATGTTACTATTTTTTTATGTTTAAATGTTACTATTTTTTGTATTATAGTCCTAACCTATATATATATATATATATGAGAGAGAATTTTTTTTAATTTTTGTCAAACTCATAAAATTTAGGAGTTTTTAATTTTTAGTTTTACTTCACTTCTAAAGGGAAGATAATTTGGTAAAATTGACAAAAAACGAACTTCATAATAAATAAGTTTCCTTGACGGACTTAAGTCCAAATAGGTCCATATAGAGAACTAGTCTCCAAATTTTCCTTTTCAAATTCGGCATTTGTTTTGAACTCTATCGGGCTAATAGGTCTGTTTTTAGTTCCCTAATCAGCCCAACCTGTCAAGTCTAGTGAGCCAATACCCACGACTTATGGCCCAATCATAGGGCCCGTCTGGCTTATGGGCCATCACATGGTCCACAGGCTATTGGTCGAGCCTTAAGGACTCTTGCGTGATTACTATACTCATCAATCACAATAGGTGATAATCTTGATGAACCACTTTATGGGCCCTAAGATCCCTAATTGGATCAACCAAAGGTTAAACCTCTAAGCGGTAGGATTGTCTTCATAGTGTTGTTGCTCTGTACTTACTTGGGAGGGTTCTCCGGTGACTTGCATGTTGGCAAGCATTCAACAAGACAATCATGATTAGGCTCCACAAAGTATTCAATTTGCACCCAGAGGGAATATTCAAAACAATTATCATCTTTTTTGGTTCATAAATAGATATGTAGCATAAGTAATATCTAGAAGCAAGACATAACAAGAAGTGGCATGGAAAAAAGACGTAGAATCAATGGAATAGACTAAAATAAGACAACATGTGCATGAGAGTTTTGCTATTACGGGGTTTTTTTTTTTTTTGGGGGGGGGGGGTAGATGTACTTCAGGCTATCTCCATAACTTGAATCTTGATGCCTCAGTCACAATGGAAAATTTTTATTGCTACCCCAAGATCCATCCTCAGAGGAATAGGCCAAAATAAGTAGTGCAATGTGTATAATGAGAAATTAGCAACTAAAGTTAGTATAGGAAAATTGCAAAAGATCAATAATAATAAAGCAATACAGCTAATCTCACTGGTGTCACAGTAATCCTTATTCATATCTGACTACGTAGAATCAGATTATTTCGAACAACATGCTCATACAGAAAAACAAGTGGGAACTTGGAAGGCAGGTAGTTAGAGCTATCCAGAAGCCAGTCATGGCCATGAGAAACTTCTTTTCATGCCTGAGCAATGAGCACATGCCTCATTGGCAACGTAATTTGAAGAATTTTCAACTGAGCTTTGACAGCCAAAAGATGGATATGCTTTGGGACAACAGTAAAATTAACACGAACATTTATTGCATAGGTAAAAATTCGCCAATAGTTGAAAGTTGTCGAGGTGCGCCCTTAGTCTTTGAGTATCACCCAATCCATGAGCTGCAAGGCAGAGAAAGGTTAGAGGGATCCCTGACGTTGAGCGGGGAGAGGCCCCTCCTATGCTTAAGTCAGTATTGTGATCAATACATGAATAGACTAGTGTATAAAACTAGGAAAATAATATAGAAGTGTGTGTGGAGTATGGAGCCGAGGTGCTCCTACTTGAGGTCCCTCTTTCTTGGGTCTTCACTCATATATATAGAGAAGGTTAGGGAGCTACTTACCCTACTGTCCAACCGTCAATGCAGGGAAATAGGCATGAATTAGTCTGCCAAAACACTCATTACCTGCCATATATTTATTGTAGCAGGTCCCACTTGTGATACATGTCAATTCCTTCATTGGGAGTGGGGCTGGTGGACTCATTTGACAGAAATTTCTCGCCAACTGCCCCCCAACTTTCATTTTCTTTTATTGCGCTTAGAAGAAGATGGAAGCTACTTGAAATATTCATGTCTTTGGGGATAATATCCACATTCTCTTTGGCAATGTACACCTTGGAAGAGATATGCCGAGACCCATTATATGCTATCAAGCGAGCACGGAGCCCAAATACCATAGACAATAATACATGCACATGCTGAATACACTTGTCATTTATAATAGAATACTGAGATCAATAACCGCAAAGCTCAAATACTCTACGAGCAATGAGTGATATCTCAACAGTTAGAGCAACGCGTCTGCTAGGTGTCATAGTTGATATTCTCACGGTATACAATAGTTCTAGGTCCGACCAATAACAATGAACACATAAGAAACCCATTAGGCCGAGTAGTAATAAAGCGCCTTATTAAGAGGTAGCATGAAGATTCAAACTTAACCATGAGATGCTATTGGAGAGAATCCAGTCTTGAACAAGACATCAACAATTGACTCATATACCCAAATCCGAAGAAGATAATCATATGAGCCATGAAGAGGATGATCACAATCGACTCTGAAGGATGAAGATAACTAAATCCTGAAAAATACAATCATAATCAAATCCCGAGAAGGATAATAATAATTAAGTCGTGAATGAGACAATCACGAGGCGCCTTCCAAGGCCAATATGTCCAATGGAAATTAATAATAAATGTCGATGATCCTTTGACTAGAGACCACATAAGCTTGGCCTACGAAGATCAACCAAATAAGACCTAGGCATGATCGAATAAATCTGATCCTTGAAAGACTGAATATAGTGCCCCCACAACATGATTGGACAATATTGATATCTGGGAGAAGGTCTCAATACATGAGTTTCTTGAAGAGGGAATCAATAAAGAGACCCCGAACACATCTGTCCCTTGATGCCGAGCAATAATGAAGTCTTTTATTGAGCAGCTCAAGGAATACCGAAGATAATCATTAGATGTCTACTTGAGAGATTTAAATCCTGAATGAAATAACTATAGATACTCCATATCCAACTCCAACAAAGATAACAATATCTGAACCCCGAGAAGGGTTACTACAATTGAATGCAATGAACGTCGAGCATGAGCAAGCCTAAAGAGGACAATAATATTTGGTCCTCTAAAGAGGGACCACATAACCCTGGCCCTTGAGAAAGATCCAAATAAGTATGCCCTTGTAAAGAAGGGCCGAATACACTAGGTCCTTTGAAGAGGGACCGAATAATCTTGGCTCCTTTAGAATGTCTATAAAAGAAGGCCCGAACATATCTGTTTCTTTGCCTTGACAGTCTCAAGTTTGATGACCACTTAGGCATTTGAGTCTTGCCCTTTCTTATCATGTTCAATTAACACTTAATTGAAATAAATAAAAGCGTACCTTATCGAACTGAGTCTTGAATAAATCAAACCCGTAGTTGGGCAATTCAAGGCTCCTTCAATGAGACTCTTCTTGAGAGGGTCTTCCTGTCCGACATGAATGTTGACGCTGGGTCAAGCTTTCCCATGTAACTGTATTGCACTAGGTCTAGGGTCTCACCCAAAGTCTCATGTCACCTTTTTCAACAAGGAGTACTCTTGGGTCCAAGTCCTTGAACTTGTCCCCAAGAGGTTTTATGCCTACGTTAGGACTTTTGGTGCTTTGGCCAGGCAAATGCTTCCCCTTGTCTATGACCCAAAGCCCATCAGATGCCTAATCACATAGAGCTTTGGGTGTTTTGGCCATGCAAAGACTTACCCGTGTTTAAGGTCTAACCCCGAGTCTCATACCACCTCCCTAAACAAGGAGTACTCCCCAGTCCAAATTCTTGAACCTGTCCCCGAGAGGTTTTATGCCTACATTAGGCTTTTTGGTACTTTGGCAAAGCAAAGACTTACCTGTGTCTATGGTTTGAAGCCCATCAGATGCCTAATCACATAGGGCTTTGGGTGCTTTGACCATGCAAAGACTTACCTGTGTTCAAGGTCTAACCCCGAGTCTCATACCACCTCCCTAAACAAGAAGCACTCCTAAGTCCAAATTCTTGAACTTGTCCCCAAGAGATTTTATGCTTACATTAGGATTTTTGGTGCTTTGGTTGAGCAAATGCTTACCCATTTCTAGGGCCCAGAGCCCATATGAATACGTAGACATGTAGGTCTTATTTCCACCTAGAGCTTTTAATCCAAAATTTTGATCTGATGTCATTGAGTGCCTCGGGTTGCTTGCTTTTATTTCTGCTTGGTCTAGGTCGTTGCCCCCTGGTGTTCATATTACCAATTTATTTGAAGATTGCCCATTTGGTAGCAGCATGTTTCTCATAGATTCCTGTACCATGTAAGGCATTACAACAGGGACCGAGCATTTCTTTGTCGACTACCACTGATGTCACTTGATCAAGAATTTTGGTAGGCATTGAGTTTGCACGGTTTTCATGAGGTCTAGCGAGCCGTAGGTGCTCATTCAAATGCCCAAATGAGAACCTCTTTGAAAACTGGGCATTATCACTGCCTTTGCTTTGATAGATATTGAATTGATGCTCCGCCAGTTCAAACTTTGAATGTCGAAAGGCTGGGTTGAGAACCCAAAATCCTGGGCTTCGGATGTGCTAATCTCATCATAATTGAGGCAAAAACCTGAATGGATCTCAACTCATTTTTGATGTCTTTGGAAGCATTCATGACAGAGAGGTCCTTTACTAAGTTCGAACTGCTTAGATCTGAGTGTGGCAATTATGATTTGCCACGTAAATCATTTCGTTGGTACAAAATAACACAATCAATGTCGAAGAAAAACTCAGTCCATGTTTACAGAATGTTTTTCAAAGTATATTCTCTTTTTGCTTTAATCAGAGGTTGATTCTAACCACAGGTGGCAAGATACTATAAAGAGATTGGGCTGCAACTCTGTCTCCATTTTGATGGCTCCGATGTATTGGTGCCGAACAACTTCTAGGCAGTGCCGAGCATGTTTGCTCATTTGGAGATATGGATCAGATGCTACATTTCAAAAGACTTCCAAGTCAAAAGAGCCCGAGAGGGACTCTTATGTCGACAAAATAGCCTGACGGTGCATGTCGGCAGATTCTTTTAAGTGCTAGAAGATGGTTTTTTGGGGAACCAATCTTTAGTGAAAAAAGAATGAAAAAATCTTGAGGGTGGACCATAATTTGCTCGACATCCTTGATTGTACTCATTGCCATTGATTGGACCGACCACCTAGACCACTCGAGTTTTTATGGTGACGTCGATTGTTTTCACTGCTGATGCCATGGCCTCTGCCGACCCAATTGTCTTTGAATGGCCGAGTAGAAAGGCCGACTTCCCAAGAAGCTGAGATTTAAATAATGATGTCGATCATACGTGAGCGAGATCATCAGAGCCCTGATAACACATTAAAGCTCCGTAACAAGCTTGGAGTGAGAGGTTACCAAGAGAAAAATAATGATTTGATGCCCTTGACTTTAAGAGCCTGAAATAGTGTTGGGTAAGCCAAAATTTTGGGTGAAATGCTTTCAATTGCTGGGACTTTCTTGTCGGTGGGAGAACCGGGTATATACACCGATTGCATTGGAGAAGATAGTCAAGCACTTCCCGAGAAAGAAATGAAGGCGAGTCTTCAATTGGGATTTCATGGACAACACTCTTGGTATGAGTTGCTGGATTTGTCTATGCTTGAGTTCAAGAAACAGTTTTGCTTGTGCACATATGTCGCGTTCTCTTTGTGATTATCTAAAGAACTCTACATTTTCACGATGCCGAAATGGGAGTGTTGCTTGTTAAAAAGAGCATTCAAGGGGATAGGCCGAGCAAATTCTCTTGCCCATAGGCGAGGCAAAACACCAATTGATGGCAAACTCACTATTTCAAGTGCCGAGCATGTTCACTCGACAATGTACGCTAACCTTTCCATTCGGCATATTCCCTGCGTTATTTGGAAAAGCCCGACCCCCATAGCTTGACAGTGGGGGAGGGTCGAACACTTAAAGCTCCATTCCCGATAGCAGTCTTATTCAAAATATGCTCAGGCTTATGCTGAACAAGGTCAGACTGTGTACACCGAGCTGCATGTAGGGGATACGAAGCGACTGTTGATTTCTAATGAGCACTGGATGGGTACGCCGACCACCGACAAGGCCAATGCGTCTAATTGGCAGTGATGCCGATCATTATTACAATGACCTCGACTACCTTTGACCTTTGACCATTTTCATAATGCCGAACACATTTTGATTGACCGATGTCCCTCCATAAGCTTGTAGCTGTGCTGAGCATGCTGTGCAACAATAAACATGCCACAACGCTTGATTGAACGCTCAAAATAATAGTTCCTTGAGGGGGAGTGAGTCATAGGCTGCTCATTTTGCAGGACTTTGGGAGAGATTGTTCTTTCATGATGGTATCGAGCCCCTTTGAATTCCCGGAGGTGAGACTGATCACCACTTTGTGATTCACCCAAACTTGTTGGCAACCTTGAGATCACTCCAATGATGAAGAGATGGACCAACTGAGTTTAATACTCCTAAGTCAGCCCTGCAACACTGAGACAACAAAAACAACTGTACTAAAGTAGCTTTGCTTCCTGTTAGTCATATTAGGCAAAATTCCATGATTTTTGTTATTTGTGTGCTTATGTCTACATGCATAGATTTGTCAAGTGAGCAAGTGTAATCTTCGTCAAGTGACACTAGAGCAAATAGGGTAATCATTTTAGTCTTTGCTAATGGTGCAACTTCTAATGTGGTTCCCGACAAAATGAAGTGAACTTGCTTTTGGCCTAAGCTTAAAATGGTTGTACTTATAAGAGAATGCTGAGTTATGGGTCTCATGCACCACGAGTCGGCACTTAGAGTGAGACCAAGCTGCATAAACAACTCAATAAGAAGACAATGAGCTGGGTCTTTTTACTGGGTTTGCATTTTATATGTGCCAGCATCATAGAAAGACCACATGGCTTATTTCTAGAACCCATGACGAAGATAACAAGAAAGGTGACTTTAAGTAGATGGTCCAAGAAAGTTAGACTAGTAGGTAGCCATAATTATCAGGTGGAGTCGTGTCTTCGTGAACTCTTCATGACACACGCATATTCGCAGGAGCAATTAATAGACTATACTTCTATGCTTCATATGGTGGCCTACATGGCATTATTCAAACTTTATTTAAATATAAGAGGAGGGAGACCACTCATCTTAGCATATGCCGAACTCTTTGCAAAGGGACATGACACGACGAGGTATTCCAAGTTCCATTAACATACCTAACTAATAGCAGGGAACACCAAATGGCAGGACTCTAGGTGGCTCTTTAGCCTCTGGGTTGACACGTAGAATAATGAAGCCGTTGGGATGTCCAAAGGGTGCCGAGGAGGTAAGCCGAGGTATGATGACCTGGAGCCGCCGAGTACTATAGCTGGCATCGTATTTAATGTGATGTAACCCTACATTTATGGCGAAATGAGTGAAAGTGACAAAGCAAATAAATGCGCGCCTGCCAGCACCTGCCTTCTAGGAGTCTAAGCCTACTATCATGATGGCTAGGCATTAATGGCTGATGCGCCGAGACGACACGATCGGCTCTCCCGAGGAACTGTTCCCCCCTTAGTATTCAATGCTCAGTCGATGTCGGATGCCGATGTGGGGGATTTGGGTACTCGGGGAATGGTATAAATGCTCGGCATTTGACTGAGTATGTACCCCATTTTCCTAGCATTCAATAGGAGGGGACATGAGTAGAAAACACTCATTGCACGAGGAATGGTGTGTCAGATGTAAGATGTCTAGATGAGACTTGAGATCTTTGACAATCATTGCTAATTCAGGTATAAATACTCTCACAAAAATGGACAAAGGTATGAAAACTTGAACTAGAAAAATAGTTCATTGAGCAAAACCCTTCGACATTATACTGACTTAAGCTTCGGAGAGGATTAGCCGGGCACTCGCCTGACCCTCTTTTTTTCTGGCCCTATTGTTTCAGGTTCGTCAGCTTGGAGATCGCTGCCTCATACTATTACAGGTATTATCCCGTGCAATTTGGTGTCCGTCTGTGGGAACGAAGGTATTTTTCTCGGTAACGATCATCTGATGGTGAACACTCGATCTCAGGGTGAGGGAGCAGTGTACGGGCTAGAACGCGGAGCCCGTCCAGCTTACAACGGTTCTGGAGACAGGTTCATTGGGCTAATCAGATGGGGTGGGGCATTCTTCACAAAGAACGATCCTTATGGATCCGGGCCTTGCGGGGCATGACCTCATGGCCCATGACATCGTTAAGATGGTGAAAAAGCAGATGTGCAAACGTATTAAGTAACTCAAAGGGAGAATGCCAGAGTCCAGCAACGTCTTGAACAACTTTGAGCAGTCAGTGAGCGCGGGTGAACATAGTCACGGGTTCGAGATTAGGTGCCTAGCTAGAACCTATCCAGGCCCCCTAGCACTGGCCTTCCAGGAAAGATTGGATTAGGCACTCGCCCGAGGGACTCCGTCACCGCCATGGAGGGCTCTCGTCTCCAAGGGGAAGTCGAAATCGGGCCAGAAGGAAAGTCTTCTAGGTGGGACCTGCGCCGAGGGATACCCGAGGGCGTCGGAGCCTCTGAATCACAAGCGGAATCCATACCCCCGAAGCCTCGAGAAAGATCAAAACAGGATCCCAGGGTCCTCTCATTGCTCCGCAGCCCATGAAGCCCAAGGTCTACTCCGACGAAGTCATCTCACTGTT